ATCATGTGTAGTTTAATTCGAAAGATGTAGTGTATAGTTTGGAGTGGACAAACTTTCTATGCTAATCCTGATATAAGTGAAACATCAGATAATTCTATCTCTTACCAATTATGGTTCCTCTTTTTTCCCTTTAGGAGTGAAGCGGAAAAAGCTATAATTCATATTGTATGACTCATGAATATCATAATCGTAAGCTTAATAACCATGCAAAACTCATTTGCATTTAGAAGAATCTGAAGAAGGCAACAAGCATCATCGGAGATATGAACTACCAGTTTCAGTTTTTTGAAAGGAACAACGAAGCTTGTTTACTTGCATACATAAATTTGAAAATGATTCACATCATTTTATACAGTGTAGTCATCAACACCAGTTCAGTAAATAAAAGTTATGGTATTAGTATAGTATATAGTAATATTGTAACAAAATAATAGCCGATTATTACGTGAGTCGTTTTCTACTTTAAGACATATTTTGCTTTTCTTTTGCCATGTACTGTCTGAGAAACGTGGGATAAAACGGATTTCTATGGACTTTCAATTAGGAATGAATAGTTTGCGGGAAATAAAGGAAATTAGTAGATTCAGTTTGTGGGACGACCTCTATTTGAAAATGACCAGCATCTAGTTATACACATTACCATTTCCGTACTTCCTGTGATTTGGAAATCTGAGATCTATTGAATTCCTTTACCGAGTAAAGAATGCATTTTCAAATGTGTCATTTTACAATATGGACAGTCAAAATTCCTCGAGACACGTCATAAAAAGACAGGAGAATGAAGAAACAGCGGTCTCTTTGTGGCATATGCTACTTAACTCACTCTTGCCATTATGCTTGTTTGTATTTATGGATAACTACATAATGTGCTCTATGATTAACATATACTTTTTAATTTCAACTTGTTTCGGAGAAAACTTTTTATAAAGCTTAGCTACCAGTTTAGTTGGTAACGACATTTATATATCACCGAAATGACTGATTATTACCATGTGATAATGCAGCGTTCTTAATGATATTGAGATGAGCTGTACATAGCTATCCGACAACTGCAGATTATAATGCAAACTTAGTATATATAATGTATATATATATATATATATACAAGGAAGATATGGAAGAAATGGGAGAAATGGATGGATATTTTGTATATAACTGTCACTTTCTTCAATTGGATTCCCACTTATTTTTATTGAAATGCAGATTATTTCGAGCACAGTTTGTAAGTTTTAAAATTGAAAGCTGGCAGTTTACTTGACCTGTCAATAAATTATAGTTGGCATGGAATCTTGATCATTTTACGTGAAATTGAATTAGTACTGAAATCAGAATTAGTGAATCTTGCATCCTTACCGTCCTTACCGTTTCAATAGCCCTTTGGCTATTGAACTTAAATTTAAGTTAGACATCAGGATAATAATACCACTAAATGTTTTCATTATGTATATTAAAAACTCGGTCAATTTATTAATTGGCTTTTTACATACAAAAACCAAACCCTTCCTATTCCTTAAAGCAATTCTTTCCATTAAGTTAAGTGAACTATTGTAATTATGTTTGGAGCTACTCGGACCTCCATATTTATTATCTTTCAACCATATGATGATCTGACGGGATTTAAAACTGAAGTACTTTCTTAGCCGTTGTAATATACAACAATGTTTCAACTCACAGCAATTTTTAAGTCTAGTTCTACTCGAAAACGAGTATTCTACCGGATTTAAGTACAGGGCGATATTAAAGACAAAATCACAAATTATTTTAGGATAATAGGAAGACTTGGATTTATATCCTAAGCATTTTAATGTTGCTCTTCTTGCAAATCGCCTGCAGCGAAATAAATTTAGTTCATCAGCATCTCGTCAGTACAACGTTGTGATTACCAAGAGTGACAAGTTGTATTGGACATATGCAAATGAACCGAATTATTTGTTGAACGCGATATTCTTCATAGTTCTTGAATTTTACTAAAGTCACATTGAAATTAAGCTATACGCTCTTTACAACTTTTAACATATTACAAGCTAAAGGAATGCTAGTACGACAACCAGTGCTGAACTTTTATCAGCACTCCTAAGAGTATGGAAGAGAGAGGAGCATGAATTCTGATGATTTTGGAAATAACAGTGAAAGGTTTTCAGATGACCATCGAATCATTAACAGCTTAATCAACAAATGAGTCCAAAAAATAGTTGACTAATATTTGCTAGCAGGACATCATTTAGCGATGCTTGCTTCATACCCTATGAATTGTGGTTACATCTGTTCAATGAACTCTTTTTTTTCGTAGACTATGAAAAATTTCAGTCTTATTCGACAACTAACTGACGAATTATTATTATTCCTGGGTTTTACGACCCATTTAATGCATCAAATGTTAACTACATTATCGCATCGAAATTATTTTACATTTTATATGATTTAAAACCAGTTCCTTAAAACGGCAGGATTATAATACTTGAAGAAGATTATATGCGCAATATTTCACATCGCAATTTCTGCTTTCGCTTTAGTAACTTCGATGTTTCTCAGTAGTTCGAAAATAACAGAAAAATGGAATGCTTCGAGAGTGTCCAATCTACGAGGTCAAAATTCTTAAGAGCAAATTAGAAAGGGAGGTAGCCATCAAATTTTCATCTGCAGGAACTTTAAAGAGCCAAAATCAATAGTATATGTAGTGTCGATTTTGAATATACGTGAAACTAGAGAATTTTATTAAGTTAGATCGATAAGAGTTTATCGAATACGTAAATATGAGAGATGACAAAAAACGCACTTCAGTCTATAATTGTCTTATTTCATTATTTTTCAGTGAAATCAAGAATGAAAGAATTAAGAATACATTAAGAAATTTTAAAAACCTACATGATTGAGAGATGCTATCAGTAGGAAACTGAATGAAAATGGATTTTGCATGCTTTATTGAGACTACTCCCTATGTACGACAGGAGTTGGCCAAAAATGTTGAGGGAATGATGGTGCAGATAAACCATGAGGACGCAGTTCCATTTTCAAAAGATGACTAGCTTTCAGTTTTACATTTTTACGAAAAACGTGAATTTTACGGAAAAAGGGTAATATTTCGAAATGATGTACTCAATACTTTACGTCTTCGTCTCGTTTTCCTCCATACTTGTTTAAGTTAATCTAATAAATGTCACAGTGGAAGAGGGTCAGTTTTTCGCCCTCAATACTCGTTAAATCGTTATTGACAGAGCCAAATTACTTTTAATCGTGTTTGAAACACGTTTCCGGTATACTTCTCTTTTTCATCCTGATTTAAGTGTGTATGTCCCCTTCGCGTCAACAAATCTTTCTATAAACGCACTTTTCAGATCATTACATTGATCAACTTAACAGCAATATGTTTGTAATACGAACCATCAGCATTACTGCTATTGTTGCTTCGTTTGGAACTATTGTGGTTGTATTCTTCTATATTCCGCTAATTTTCATGAAAATAACAGAAATCAACGAGAGGGTAAATTCATTATCATGTTCCAAAGTCTCTACTATTCTTTCCACTCATTCAATAGGCAGTTTGGTTATAGTTTCAAAAATCATAAAATATATAAGATTATCATTTCGTCTTCGTGCGATTGAAAAAAATTGTTTGAAAAATTCTGCATCTCAAAGAACGGATTGTTGATTGAGATTGAAAAACGTGACTTGTAAATAATTATTTTTATTCTCTTCATTTATCCCTGAGATTAAAAACAGCAAACTACTTGTAGTTGAAGCAGGACTCCGACGAATTCCGAATGATTACGAATGAAGCTTGGAAACAACTATTTCAAGCACGAGTACTAAAGCGAGAAAAAAGACAGGTACTTTATTTCGATCGATTAGTGAGCCTTACTTTTCCGAGCCATTACATTATTCAACAACCCCATGGAAAAAAAACTTTCTCATCTTTGCAATGGTTCTCAGTCATTCGGTACTTTCCTTATGGACGGTACCAGAATTTCAGTTGAATTTTGTTATCAATGGGGATTTATTTTGCCTCGTCATTCTTACATGAAGCATAATTATTTGCAGTATGATTCGGAACAAAACGTTTATCCACTTCACAACGCATATTCCAAATCAGAAATTTCTATACAACAATCAGTCTGTGGTACATCATTTTTACATAAGATTATTTAATGCAACATTTATATTTTGATAGAATGGAGCACAAAAATTTAGTGTAACATTCACAAAGGCTATTATTTTCTTCAATTCTCATCTTATTTAAATTTCAGAATGCCAAACATCGAACGTCTGTCCTCCAGGACCACCAGGATTGCCAGGAAAACCTGTTAGTTATCCCATTTACTGGGAAGAAAAGTATTGAAAAATGAATCAATAAATCAATCCTTTTCGTGTGGTTTTCAGAAAGTTTATTTTTCAACCCAAATCACACGTGTCACATTAGAACCACTGCTCATATAGTTTTAGTCTCCTACTGTGATATGTTTTATTGCATTTCTTTCACGTAAAATTTACAGGGTGAAGATGGAATGCATGGTGAACCAGGAACACCTGGAACTCCAGGACTGCCTGGAAATGCTATTCCGGTTACGACCGACTATGTAACTTTTGATTAATGTGTAATATTTGCGAAAGTTTTCCTAATTAGAAAAAAAAGTTTTCCCTCATCGAAAGTTTTCCTAAAATTAATCAGAATTTTAAACTAAAACTGATCATAGTATTATCTGCAGTTCACGGGCATGCTCAGAAAATTTGTCTGATTGTAGAGCAACAACTGTCGACTATGTCCCCAGGGCCAGCGGGGTCCTCCTGGTCCCCCGGGACAAGAAGGTATTCCAGGAAAAGCTGGGCAACAGGGACCACCAGGACGTACTGGCGAACCTGGAAGAACTGGTTATGCAGGTAGGACGTGTCTTCTTTAATTTTATGCTTAAAATTGTGAAAAAATATGGAATTAAGTTGCAGGTACTCCTGGAGTAATTGGAGAAATGGGTGCGCCAGGCAGACCTGGTGACCCAGGACCCCCTGGATTGAATGGAACACGTGGCCAAAAAGGTCTATCTGGGAAAAAGGGCGAATTAGGTTCGATAGGACCAAGGGGTCTCGAAGGATATCCCGGATCACCGGGGCAGAGAGGAAAGATGGTCTGTTGTTTATAATATTTAAAAAGATACGAAATGAATCATGGAGTCCACAAAATATGCTAAATTATTAAATAAATGTTTAGGTGAAGCAGGAGCGCAAGGTCCACCAGGAACACGGGGTCCTCCTGGGCAAAAGGGAGCAGTAGGTATAAGCGGTCTTCGAGGTATGCCAGGTGAAGATGCGCAATACTGCTCATGTCCACCTCGCACAAAAGGTAACGAAAAACCATCGTATGCACAAATAACTGATATTCAAAGCCAAATACCTTCATCGTACAACGAGCAATCCAACTACGATTCAGGTGGTGACAGTAATGTTGGCTATAAGAAGAGAAGTAAAAAAGCCTGAAAAACTGCTTAAGTATCAATGCCATTATGCCGTAATAAATTTGTTCCTTGCATTACTTCATACTTTAAACACGTCACAAATTACGTTCACAAAATCATGAGAAAAGCAAAGAAGTTGAAAAAAAAAAATTCCGTGATATTTCGGAATTCGAGACATATTCTCTGGTCATTTTCACAAATATGGACAACAGAATGAAATCAGTCCTTGAATAGTCTAGAAAAAGAAAAAAAGTGGTACTTCTACGGAACTTGCAATTTCCAAGCAATTCAGCACATTCAATGTCACACCTTACTTCAATTATTCACAGAAAGGCATCCGTTAATCAGATAAATTCGTTACTTAAATAAATCATAGCCAGATGAGATAAAAAGACAGTCAACCCTAACTCTTATGCTGATTTCTTATTCAGGGAGCTGCAACAATAATTTATCCTTTTCCCCAGCATAAGCAGTGTTCTTTATAGCGCCCTCAATCAAGATATATTTCTTCCGGTAAATCAAACTAGACAATACCAGTTCATATAAAGTCAACCTCGTATTCGAAACTAATAAAGCAAATTAGCGCACTCCCTTAAAGAAGGCAAAATAGTTACCTTAAAGTTTGTTTTTGGCGCGGAGGAGCCACCAGTATATCACGGGTGGCCGTTATTTATAAAGCATTTCTAAGTGGTGTGTGTGTTTGTTTTAATCCACAACAGGAGCGAATCTCTCAGTAGTCTCATGTGAGTTCTCGCATATGCCTGGTCATGTATGGCAGTGGTTGGATCTGGAAGTGTAAAAATGGGGACGTAATAAGTTGGCCAAGCAGAGATTGAAAACCTGTTTACCTGATCGCAACATAAGCAACGGCATTGAGAACTTTCGGCCACAAGACCTTGCCGATCTTAACCTTCACCTCAATATCTTCACTCTTTTATATGTCGGCTCTATAAGCATGGCTGTATTTGAACGCTTGTTTGAATATTATTAATTAGGGGTATTGAGAAAGTAATCCATGAAGAAGGAAAGATATGAGAAAGGTTGCACTTCCTTGCGACCTTTATGAGTTATCGAGATCTCCGTTTTCCGCGTTTTAACATACTATCAATTACGATGAGTGAGACAGCTTCCAGTGTTGATGTGTGGTATTCTCACAGTATTTTCGCGTTACTGCAGCCGTAAGCCGACGCATACTCTTTGTTACAAACAACAATTCAGTGAATCTCCATTCTGGACAACCGATCTCCAGTTGAAGTGTTCGGCCAGGATGTAGGTAGGTGCGCTCTTTTCATGTTTAAAACTGATACTGCTGCCGAATATGTGTTATTGGCTTTGTTTTCACTTCAAAAAAATGAAGCAATTAATTCAGAATACAGGAAGTTGAAATGATTAAGTCCATAAATAACACAAAAAGGACAAAGAAGAGTATGGGATTTACCTATTTGGTCAGCATTGTCACTGACCTCCTACTGCCAGTTCCTTATGGGTCGCAGGGATTGAAGCTGTTATCTCGTGAAACGTCCCATAATGGTTATGTTTTTCAGATGTGATGTCGTCGAACTTCAGTCCTGTTTCACCTCGGGGGCTGGCAGTGAAAAATGTGAGTGCTGTTACAGGTGCTGATGTGGGTGCACCAGTTCTTCCACAGTTTCACTGTAGCCCAGGTGGACAAACTCGGTCACAGTTGTCAAGTACTGGTACACAACTGCTCAGTGCAAACAGCCAAGTCAGGTCGCAAATGCAACAAGTTCCCCAGTCCACGCAACGTCCGACAAGTTCTGATGCATGCGCTACAATCACACAGTATCTGATGATGTATCATACGGTAACTGTGTTACTATAGGTTTCTGTAGGCTTTCGAATTTCCACCACCTGATATATATTGGAAAAACCAGGTTTGCTTGATTGTAATTAAGCCATGTACAAAACTGAGTGTCGAAGAATGCATGAATTCCAGCATCCTCATGAAAGCACTTCACTACCAGTTATAATGTGTGTTTGTATTTTTTTAGGGGCGAGATGAGGAGTTCAGTCGCAAAGCCATTGAAAGTCTGATTAAGAAACTGAAAGATAAACATGATGAATTGGATGCACTGATCATCACTGTGACATCACATGGGAAAACTTCTCCGAAATGTATTACGATTCAGCGTACTTTGGATGGACGACTGCAGGTAACAAATGTGGATATTTTCAATTTTTTCACCTTATTCGGCTAGGTATTACATGATAATTTGACATGATGCAAATGTATCTTATTTTAGTAAACTGCATATTTCATCCGACCCTCATCTGTTGATAGTAGTTGTTTCCCTTCTTCAATGTTTTAATTGCTAGGAGGATTTCACAGAAAGTTATTAAATATAAATGTTATATCTCAGTCACTACATCATTATATTGTTTTCGTCTTGATTATGTAACTAAAGTTCAAAATTTATTTACTCAACAACGATTTCAGAAATGTAACCATTTCAGACTTCCTTATTTTTGCAGGTAGCTGGAAGAAAAGGTTTTCCGCACGTCGTTTATGCGCGTATTTGGAGATGGCCTGATTTACATAAAAATGAGCTGAAACATTTGTCAATTTGTCAATGTGCGTTTGACCTAAAGTGTGACCTCGTAAGGTTTTTCGGCATTTTATATATCTATATCTAAAAATAAGTTTTGATTTCTTCAAAATTATTTTCCTTCCCAAATCTTATCAGTTCATGAGGCGGTGTTTAGGTTTGCGTTAATCCATACCACTATGAACGTGTTGTTCCGCCAGGTATAGGTGCGATTGATTTGTCAAATTTAAAGATTGAACATCGCTCCTCATCACAAGACGATTCAAACACACTATCTCCAGGAAGTGCAGGAACTAGCGATGATTTATCAAAGTAATTTTTAAGAGTTTATGATAATCCGTGGGCATTTCTTCCTTTTTTTTTTTGATATCACTAGTTGAAATGAAAATATATGTTTGTTTGGTATATTTGTTGTACTTATCGTAGTATGGATTCTGTATTCTAATCTCGAAGCATCGATTTTCGTTCGATACTATGTATCAGTAGAATTTTGTAATTACACTTATTCGAAGCATTGTCAAGTTTTCATACAGTTCAATGCAGTTGGTATGGGTTAACGCACCGTGTTTATTATTTTGACTGGACATTCAGTCAGACATGAAGTTACAGGAACTCAGCGCTTAATGAGAATGACGGTTGGACTGCAAAGACACTTGCATATGCGTCAACACTGCGTACTTCCAATGTTGTCAAAACAGGTGTCATTGCAAAAAGATTATTTCTTCTTTTTTGCTGTATTGGAAGGTGTTAATTGATTTTGCGTTGAAATTTGTCGATATTGTACATCATTACAGAGACGAGGAAATTGTCTGGTGATGAGCAGGATCTATTAAGCGGCTCCAGTGTATGTATGGCATCGAATCAGTCTACTTGGAATAACAGTGAGCAAAACGCAGTTGCTGCAGCGGTTACAATCCCATCACAGATTCGTAAGTCCGTTTCAGTTTTGTATTTATGAGTTTGATTCATTTTTACAGGAATTTTTACAGCAGTGCTGTTTTGTCCTCCTACTCCTACTCTTCATTCATAAATTTGGAATTCCATGGCAAATTTCTGTTTTTTTAGCAGCAGTGGTAAATCCAATTCCATTTTCATCTAGTTCCATGCAGCCGCAAAATACGTTTCCAACTCAGTCTATCACTGTGGCGTTAAATCCATCGTTACAAGTATCTCCCTCATCAGCATTCAGTAACTCGCGTGAGTAATATTGTAGAACTATTTTTTATATTTAGTTCCTATTGTCTTATTATAAATATTGTTTAGTAAATAATGATACAGTTTAAGATGTTTTGTATGTGTTTTTACTGGAAGTTTCATTCTATGCTAAATGAGTGGGATGTTTAACAGAGGGATCAGGTTTTTTCTTTTGAAAGTAAAATCTGTAGTAATCAACTTAAGCAAATTTTTATCAGTGTTTGGTCAGGATAGAGCATTTAAAACTGATTTCAAACTCTTATTTAGAAGAAGTTCAGCATCACATAGAATCTAGAGTTCGTGACAAAACGGAACCTACATCGCTAAGTCCACGTAAGGATTGTAATTCCATTTGCTATTTTTTACAAACATATATAGATCAAATTTAGAAACATCCTTTACAACAGCTTTTCACTAATGGAAAACTGATATTTGCAGCTACTTTTCATTTGTTATTAATTTATCTCTGTTCAAGATCCGGCAAATTGGTGCGTCATTTCTTATTATGAGTTCAATACAAAAGTTGGTGAAACATTTGCTGTAAGTGCACCTGCGGTCTACATTGATGGAGGAGTTGACCCATCTGCTCCCGGTCGTTTTTGTTTAGGATCTCTTTCCAACGTTCAGCGTACTGATGAGAGTGAACGATGCAGGTTGATTGATGCAATGTTTATTTCGTTATTTGAGCTGTGTTCCAAAATTTCTTAAATTCTTAAATATTTATTTTGGAAATTACATTGCAAGTGTTGAAATGGGGTTTGTTTTTATTTATGCTGTTCTTGACGAGAAATGTTGTGTCCAGTCATTACATTGTATATTATCAACAGGAAGCACATTGGTCGCGGGATTCGATTGGACGTGAAAGGAGAGGGTGATGTTTGGTTGACATGCTTGTCGGATCGACCAGTTTTTGTTCAAAGTTCGTATCTCGATCGTGAAGCCGGACGAGTTCCGGGCGATGCTGTACACAAGATTTATTCTCAAGCAACATTAAAAGTTTGTGTTTCGGAAGCAATTGCAAAAATTCGTTCTGAACAGCTTTTTCAAAGGAATGTTGGTTGTGTTCTCATTCGATAAAACTGTATACTGTAAAAGTAAAAATTGGCTATCTGGAACTATGGATTTCTTGCTTCTTTACTTATTTAGTGGTTTTAGGTTTTTGACTTACGGCAGTGTTACCACCAGCTGCGACAGCAGAATATGTATCAGTTGATAGCGGCGGAAATACTGAATAACTCGTCCGACAATTCAAGAAATCCATTGTTTGGAATGGACAGAAAGTCGGCAGAACTTGCCGGCCGTTTAAATCAGGTTACTTGTATTATTTCATTTTCTGGCCAGCATTTTACTGGTATTTCATTCAAGTTTCAGCAGTAGTCTCACTATAAATTCTGAGACTTTGTAATTTACTTTGGGTTCATCAGTTCTCCTAATTTTGAAATGTAACGATGATTACAGTTTAAAAATGAATTGCGGGGCACATATTTGATATTTCTAAACATCATTGGAATGTAAAATATCAGTGATTGGTTATTTTATTTGATTATTAGGAGTATTTATTTCATTATGAGTTGGAAGAGAAGACCTGATTGAATCTTTATTAATTCTTTAGAAGGCACTGATGCATCTCACAGTTGCATTCGGTTATTCATGTCTTCATTGTTTTACTGTCATTTTTAAACAGTATTGATATTTTTTAGGCTGCAAATGTCGGTGTCGACGAATTACGCAACTTGTGCTCTCTGGCAGTATCCTTTGTCAAAGGATGGGGACCAGATTATGATCGTAAATCAATCAAGGAAACACCATGTTGGATAGAGGTCCAAATAAACAGGGCTCTTCAACTGCTTGATGAAGTCCTTCATAATCCAACTTTAAATAATTTTTCTTCATCTCAAATGTAATTAATATATTAATATGTGTTATTAATGTAATGTGGTGTTATCAATAAGCTATTGCTGCCCCATCTGTTCGTTCGTCAACGAAACCGTACGAAAAGAAATCTTGTGTTGTACTCATTTAATGACGTAAAATTTTGGATTACTTTGTGGATTTGTTATCATCTCCAACGAAAGGGATGAATAATATTATGCAGTAGCTCTTACCATGATTTAAAACTTTTGAGGACCGTTTCCTAATTGTAGTACTTTGGGTAGTAAATCCGCAAAATATTTTTGCAGATTTCCTTTTTCTTTGTGTCTTGTTACTAGTATGAATATATATATATATATATATATATATATATATATATATATATATATATATATATATATATATATATATA